GGAAGGAAGGAAGGAAGGAAGGAAGGAAGGAAGGAAAAGAGGGAGCAAAGGAGGGAGGGAGGGAGGAAGGGAGGGAGGGAGGGAGGGAGGAAAGCAACATAAGAGGGAAGGAGTAAAGATCCTAGTCTGTTACTTACCTTGCCCGTCTTAACAGCAGCCCCATATCCAGTGGAAAATCCGCAACCAATCAAACAGACTTTCTCAGGAGGAGCTGCGTCATCTACCTTAGCAACAGAAGACTCTTCCACCACTGTGAACTCAGTAAATGTGCTGGTGTTCATGAAGTGATAGACTGGTTGGCCCTTGCATGTAAACCTGGTAGTGCCATCAGACAGTAATCCACAACCAGAAATACTATGTGATACAACAAATACACATGTTAGTTAGTTCAACTAAATATGAACATGAACATCTTATTTTTTTTTTGAACATCTTAAATGACATTAGAGTAAAAAGGACGAAACCTACTTGCTCTTAATGCAGAAATTGCCCTCTGGGTTGCAGCAAGCATTGCATTCTCTACATTGTGGCAAAAAGAGAGGGATGACTTTGTCACCTAGAGGAAAGATAGTATGATACAAAGTGCTAGTTCATTAAGAAATACCCATGTGTGAACTGAACCCATTCTATATGCGACAATTTCCTCAGAGTATTTTGCAGTTTATAAGCATCATAAGTTTCACTTGCTAAATGTCAAGATTTTCCCAAATTAAACAGCGCTGAGTCCACCTGTTCTCCTCGGACTCCTTTTATCTCCCTGAATTCCTAGTGTGCACTACTCCTGTGATAGGATAATCAAAGCCCACTTATCAGAGACTTTTGGCTTGACTTCTCCATACCTGGCTTCACTGTAGTGACTCCTTTTCCAATGCTCTCTACAACCCCAGCTGCTTCGTGTCCCAGAATGACCGGAAACTTAGATATCATTGTTCCTTTTATCACATGGTCATCTGTGTGACAGATTTCTGTGGCCAAAATCTGTATTCAAAAAAGAACATTTCACCAACCAGGAAATTGTCCAGTTTAGGGTTGTCCATATTTAGCTTGCTATTGACAAGATTATAATTGTTTATTTCATAGCACTGTCTTATGTGATAATGCTGACTCCTAGACTATACCAAGCCTAAAATCAACCTTCTGTGGTCAGCAAACACCCCTGTGAAGGAGCCACAGTACAGATGTCACCGTGAGGCTGAAAGGAAAGTGTGTAGCCAGCCAGAGGCTATGGGAAAGTGTGCTTTGTAGCTTGGCTTTCCATGGTTCTCTTATGAAATACCAGAAGCAGCATGCAAAAAAGTAAATGAGGGGTAAAGACCCTGAGTGCAAGTGTTCTGGCAATGGCAGAGAGTCAAAGACTGGCAGGAATGTCCACCCAACACAGGGGTCCACACCCAAAGTCAGGCTCTGTGCAGAGCTGCCTCTTCTCAGGCTGAAAGGAATTTTTTGTTATTTTTAAAAAGGTAATCTTGATAAAATCAGATTTTTCTAGCATTTTAAAGTAAATCATTAGTCCTGGCTAGTAACCATTTTTAATCAAACATTTCATTTAAAAAATTCAACAGATGGTGCCTGGAGAGATAGTCAGCATTCTAAGCACTTCCCCAAAGCACAAGGATCTGTGTTGGATGCCCAGTACCACACAATATGCTAGTCCTGGGCCCTAAGCCAGCCACTGAAAACTGGGCATGTTGGTGCATGCCTGTAATCCCAGCGCTGGAGAGGCTGAGACAGGAGGATCATTATGAGTCTAATCTTGCATAGCTAGAACCTGTACCAAATAAATAAGTAATTTTTTAAAAGAATTATATAAAAAATTCAAGAGATGAATACTTTAATAAAGTGGGGGATTTTTTTTAATAATAGATAATCAGCTCATTAATTTCACAGCCAAAATGATTGTTTCCCTAATGTTATACAATAAGTAATACGAGAGTTAAGGACCAGAGTTCAGCAAACATCTCCTATTTAGAAATCCACTTCACAATCATGATTTAATACAAATGTGATTGCAAAACAGGATTATACATTCTAAGATCCTTTCTCACCTTAATGCGAACTTCTTTAGCCTTTGGTGGGCCAACTTCTATCTCTTCAACAGAGAAGGGCTTATTCATTTCCCACAGCACAGCGGCTTTGCACTTAATAACCTAAGAAATCGGCAAGTGTTATACTGGATCCTAACTACATCATCAATGCAGACTTTTTAAATCATATAAATAGGAACTAAGTATCACATATAACCTAATATTCCCAGAATGATTTTCAGAAAGCTCTAGGACATAGAACATTAGAAATCATCTTATGTGCACCTTTGTCTGATGCATGTGTGATGCAGAGAGAGTGATAAAATAATTGATATGTGGGCACGTGGTACACAGGTCAGAGCTGGTGAGCAGGGACAGTGGCTATGCTCCTGGATGGTAGGATCCATGTCTTGAATCTCTACATCTTGCTTGGCACTTAGCCAGTTGTTTGCAGCTTGTGGGCCCTGATTTGTTTTAATGTACAATGAGTTATTTTTCATCTTGCTTCTCAACTAAGAAACACGTTCCCTTAATGCCTCTTTGTGTGGTTAAATAACTGCTTTGAAAGATAGTAAATGTAGGAAATGACAATTCTTGAAACAAACAAAGCCCAATGTTAAATTTAGAAAACTTGTATCACATTCCCAAACTAACTTCAGATGGATTCATAGTCAAATTTATTCTTAAAAAATATTTTAATATGTTTTTAAAATTTGCTTTTCTCCTTTTCCGTTGAAACTTATTCTTTCTCATGCTCTTGTGATAGCATTTATCTCGATTCTTCTTCTGAGTGAGTGTAGGATTCCTTCCAGTTTCTTCCATGATGCTAGATTAGTGGTCACAAATGCCCTCAGCTCATACTTACCTTGCAGCATCCTTCTCTTTCATCTTTAAAGGACACAGTTGCCTGGATATAGGAATCTGGGCTGGAAGTCGTTTACTTCCAAAATTTGAAATAGACCCAGGTACCTACAGTGAAATGATTCCTGACAAAGGTGCCCCAAAGCACAGTGAAGATAGAACGATCCTTAGTGGTCCTGGGAAACTCAATATCCACATGTAGAAGACTAAAAGGAGGGTATTATCTCTTATTCTATACAAAAATCATCTCAAAATAAATCAAAGGCCTTAATGTAAGACCTGAAACTTGGAAACTATTAAGGAAAACAAACACTGTGAGATACAGGCAAAAACAACTATTTTGTGACTAGCTCTCTGAAAGTTTAGGAAATAGCTGCAAGAATTAACAAATGAGATCACATGAAATTGAAAATTTTATAAATACCAGAAAACAACAGAAAGAGTGAAGAGGCAGCCTACATAGTGAGAGAGATCTTTGCCAGCTAGTCATCTGATAGAGGATTAATTTCAAAAACACATGAAGAACTCAAAAAGTTATCAACAAAAAAATAGGTTAAATAAATAAATAGGAAATGATCTGTACAGACAGTTCTCAAAGAAGAATAGTCAATAAATGTACAAAAATTTAGATCATGAAAATGCAAATAAAAAATACGTGAGAATTCTTTCTCACCTCAGTCAAATTGGCTATTATCAAGAAAACAGAACATGAGTACTAGCAAGAATGTGGAGAAAAGATCCCTTGCACACTGCTGTTGGGAACACAAACTAGAACATCCACTATGGACAACAGGATGAAAATTACTCATAAAACTAAGACTAGAACTATGATATGATTCAGCTACACTACCTCCAAGTATACACCCATGGGATAAAGTCAGAATACAGAAAAGATAACTGCTTACGTGTATTCATTGCATCACTATCAATAACTGTTAAGTTACGGAATCAGCCTCGGTGTCCATAAGTAACTGAATAAGGAGAATGTGGTACATATACACAATGGAGTACTATTCATTGGTAAGGAAGAAAATCATGTCATTTGCAGAAAAATGGGTGGCACTAAAGTTTGTCGTATAAAACAAAATAAGCCAGATGCAAAAGGGCAAGTACTCCATGTTTCTTCTCACAAATGGAAACTAAAAAAAAAAAAAAAAAAAATCCAACAAAGAAGAAAAAGGAGAAGTGAAAGAAGAGAGACTATTAGGGAAGGGGAAAGAAACCAGAGGGAAAAAGATCATGGCAAACAATGGTACCTGAAAAGGTTGATACAATCAAATCAACATGAAAATGTCGGGCAGGAGAGATGGCTCAATAGAATAAGCACTTCCCTGGCAAGCACAAGGGCCTCAGTTCAATCCCTTGTTCTGCCCAAAAAAAAAAAAAAAGAAGAAAGGAAAGAAAGAAAAAGGAAAATGTCACAGTGAAGCCATTAGTTCATACAATTACTATGGGTTGATAATGAAATTTTAAGAAGAAATAAAGAAAATAAAACAAATCACTGAGGTTTGCCTACCCGATAGGACTTGTGACTTCATAAGAAGAGGAGACTGAGACACACTCTCCCAGGGCAGACCATATGAAGATGGGCAGAAGTGGGTTATCTCGAGTGAAGAGAAGGCACCTAAGGAGCCAACTGTGTACACAACTTGTTCTCAGAGTTACAACCTCCAGATGTGCAAAGATATGAGTCTGCTGTTTAAGACACCCAGTCTATGGTACATTGTTAAGATAGCCTTAGCAAGCTAAAATAATTTTCAATTTTTAATGAAAAAAGAGAACAAATTAAACAGGACAAAGATGGAATTCCAAATATAAAGAGGTCCTCTCCTGCCATGAGCTATTCTTAAATGCTGGGCAGGTTAGGAAATATACAACCCTCTGTGAACCATACTGTTGCATGACGGTCTGCGGATCGAGACTGCACACCTGCCATTCACTGCTCACTAATCAAACTGGAAGGTGCTGTTTGGAGACCCCTGAGGTCCCCATCACTGGAGGTGTTTTGACAGTGGCTCCACAGCCAGCTCACAGGGACAGCAGAGCTCACTCTCCAGGATCTACCGGCTTCATGAAATAGAAAAGTTTTAAGATTGTTTCCAAAGTAGAGTCAGTAGCTTCAATAGTGAAAATGTAATTCTCCAAGTTGTCTAGTTTGTCTGGATTTCTGACCCAAACCCAGATGTTCTTAACTCCAGTTCTGTTCTATTCTGGGAAAAGTTATTCCAAATTTTAACATCATAGGGCTTCTTGCTGTATTTATTACCCAGATGTCAACTGTCATCTTTATTTTTTGAAAACCTTAAGGTAGGCTAAATGCAAAGTTGTTTAAATAAGAATTAAACAAATAAAAGCACTTTAGAGTTTATGCATGTGTGTACCAATTTAAAGTATGAAACTACACTGGTCGACTTACAAATGAAAAAATGTCAGTTATCTCTAAATTAGTATCAATTCCTGATTCCATTCTTTTCTTTTCTTTTTTTGTATTTTTTAGGGAAGGGTCTACAGGGTATTCAGGGTCTCACTACTAGATTGGACTCACAGTGATCGTGGTCCACTTGTTTACAGCTTCCCAAGAGCTGGGATTACAGAAGCGTGCCACCATAACCCAGTCTCAATTGCCGTCTCAGGGCACCCTGGGGATGGGGCTGGCAAGGCAGGCCCAAGAACTGAACCCCGGCCACTGTACCTGCTTACAGGCGCTTTGATCTGCTGAGGTATTTGGCCAGATCTTCTGTTATTTTCTTATAGAATAAACATAACTTACCTCCATTGTAGTCATTTTCAAAATTATATTTTGATTTTAAAAATACATCACTAAGAAACCTTATGATACTTTGTTGTCAGCTTTACATTCTGGAATTAGCATTTTCCACTGTCAAAAGCAACACAAATGGTTTTCAACAACTACATGAAACCTTTCCACTGCACACTGAAGGATACATGTGCACTCAGCCAAGCCCTTTCAGGGGACATTGGCTTACCAAAGCAAAAGCCCAGCTGTCCTGAAATCACACTGCAAATTGTAACACTATAAACCACAGGTCTGTTTTCTTCCACCATCTTCCTAAAAATCCTTCCACATGTGGTCTTCACTTTAACCCACAGCACCTGGAACTTTTTGCAACTAATTCAAAGTTTTGCTCAGTGGTGTCTATTCAGCCGGCATTTGGCTCAAAGTATCCCCAACTATTTAGCTACTTTATTGCCTTCAAAAAGCAATCCATGCTATTAGATCATGACAGAGTGTACAGAAATATTCCGCTTACTTTTCCAGCAGTGCTCATCCTGTCTTTCTCCTGGTTTGTATCTCCGTAAACAAGCACTTTTTCTCAATGATGTCCTCTGGTTCACTATGTAGCAAAAAAACAGCATCTTCTATTTTCAAGTAAATAGTCTGGCACCAAAGTTCTGCTTTCAGCAGTATGAGTCACTGGTGTCCCTCCCTTTTACAGATAAAGCTGTAAAAACAAATACCGCTATTATGACCAACATTCTTATCCACCTTGGTTTTTGGAGGCTAGAGAAACACATGAGGTCAGTCCAGTTGAACATAATTTGTAGAGGATATCTCGGGTGCTTCTTAAGTGCAAGCTGCCCTCTGAAGCTCAACTAGCTTTCACATGTATACATTTCTATTTATGCTCTACTTCACTCTACACAGCCTTGATGTGATTTGTGGAAAATGTGCAATTAATTATAAATGAAAATATGTCCAAGGAAATGAAAAATAAATTAAAAAGGAAATCAAAGTTGAGAAAGAAGAGCATATAGAATGTAAATATTAATTACTATGATTTCTAGAAATTTGGGAGATAGAAAATTAAGAAAAAGTTGTCACTGTATATTGAAAAATCTGATCCCCAGTCACATTATCCAGAGTTATCTCCAGTGGTTGTGAGTCCGTATACCTAGGGATATTCAGAGTAGGGCTGAAAGGAAATTAGGATCCACACACACATGGGCTCTTGGATTCCAAGGGGCTTCACTTACTTGGGCAAGAGCTTAGCTCTTCTAAAATATCTGTTTAATTATTACAAGTTACTATTTCCTAATATAAGATTCAACGACATCAGAATTTTTTGGTCTACAAACCACTTTAATAAAAGTGTACCACAGATAGATCTTATTTTTGATAGTGGTTGTACTGACACCCCAATCCTGCTACACAAAGGAGATTTTACTCCTTGGAGTAATTCAAGAAGGCATTCCTTCTAAGTCTCTGAAGTGTGGAACCCAGAACATAAAGTGTTACCAACCAAAAGAAGAAATTTGCAAGAATTTATTTTTCAGATAATAAAGAATAAAGAATAAAACTTTGCATTGAAAAATAGGTATAAACTTTGCCATAAATCTCTCATTGTAATATAGTTAGATCCAAATTAAAATGTATCTATCCCAAATGTAGAATTCAGACTAGAATTAATAATTTTAATTTGGGGGGATGGCTCTGTGGAATAAGTGCTTCCTTAGCAAGCGCAAGGGTCTGAGTTCAATCCCTGGTTCCACAAAAAAAAAAAAAAAAAAAAAAAAAATTCATTAGCTAAATCAAATTCTCTAGTGTAAAATATTGTCAGTCATTCAGGCTAGTGCTTAAGGACTACACTATTTTAGCAGAAAATGCTGAAAACCTCAGCATATCTTGCAGGTGTTCAGAGCTAAGCAGGTATGGACAAGGACAGGCATTCTGAGCCTCAGCCTTAAAACCAGGTAAACTAAATTTTGTCTCAGCAACAATAACTTGTTTACTTATGAACAAAGGCAAAAGAGTTCCACCAACCTGAGTGTTGTCCGCACAGATGTAAACTTGCTAAGCTTCCTCTTAGGGACTTACCAAAGCTTCAGATTACCAGTAATCAAAAATACAAAGTTTCCCAATTGAACATATCATGTGAGGCTTAAATCTGAGTAAGTCTTAATGCTACTTATCCATCCCCATGAGACCTGACTAGATGGTAAAATGACAAAGTTGAAAAGTAGAGTGTTACCAATTATTGTTTTTAAAAGGTCATAGCTACATGAACCATATTGTTTGTATGTCTAGTTTTAGGGAGCTCACCACACAATTTTTTTTGAAAACTGTATTACAGTACTTGTATGAAATTCTGGTGCCAAGACTTGGGTACTCAGTCTTCCAGTCACTGTGAGTCTGGTTCCATTTCCATAGTTCACAGAGGCCTCTACTGAGAAGGGCTGATCTCAGCATGCCTACAAGTGTATTTTCCCAGAGTCTAAATTCAGAAGAAAGCAGCACTTTGAGAGGTATGCTATAGGAATACAGGTTTTGGAGGTGATAAGCTTGTTCAGGGCCCAGATTCTCACTTAGCTGTGTATACCTTCAGCTCTACAGAAATAGCATTGGCCACATGACACGAGGTCCTAAGGACTCCTGGTAAGGATCATAAAGCGCTTTGAGTGGTTCATAATCAGTCATAGCCTGATTCCCACTGGTTGCTTGGATTCATTGTTATGGTTTTGTTGTGTGGACTTTTAAAACTATTTAAAATATAACCACTCTGGTCAAAATGTCCTAATGTCCAGGCAGAGATTAACTGTGTTCCTAGAAGCATCTAGAATTTTCCAAATGTTTGGGGATGAAAAATCTTCTAAAAGTGGAGGTGCTATAAGTAATTCAGGGGGAAACACAGGCCAAATATAATCCCCATGGCTTGATCTGTATTGCCGCCCAGACTTTTTTTAAATTTTTTTTTGCACAGGGGCCGGGAAATAGCTTAGTAGAATAAAGTGCTTCCCTGGCAATCTCAAGGGCCTGAATTCAATCCCCAGTTCCACAAAAAAAAATTGCATGGATTGCATGATTTAGTATTTATTTCATATTAACTATACTCACTTTCTCTGATAAATCTCTACTATAAAATTTTAGAACAGCTATTTTTAAAAAGTATCTGTTTTTAATAAGCCATACAACCTGTACTTACATATCCAAATGTAAGCTATTCTGCTTTGTAACATGAAGCCAAAATGCTAAAAGATTAAAAATACAATTTTTTAAAATCTTAAGTTGCTGTCTAAAAAACAGTGTACTCCTCTAGTGTTTTGAACTAGAACACTAACTTGTATTAACATAATCTGGATTTTCAGATATAAATACAAGTCCATAGTTGGTCACCAAGAGAAATGAGGTTGTGAAGTTTCTCACAAATTTGCTATTAAATCCTAAATCAAATTATTTCCAGAACCTGGACCACAATATATAAAATGGCTTAAGTTTTCTTAGTTTCAACCCTGGAAATAGACTCTAAAATTTGAAATTGTGCCTCTGATGTACTTTACACAGACAAATTGACTTTGCAATGAATATTCTGTAAGAGAGCAGGTAGTTCTAACACAAAAGAAACTCTATAAGGTGGAATAGGGGATGTCAGTGGCATTATTCCACTCTTGTTTATCCAGACTGTAGCTTTCAGTCTTGCATTGAGACCTTCTTGTATATCAGTTTCTAATGTGTCACCAACCATCACACAATCCCCAGGCTGTACTCCAAGGAGATCACAACAGTGATAAAATTTGGAAGTTGCTGGTTTCTCCTCTTTCTGCTCTCCGCCTACAACAATAGCATCAAAGTAGGACTGACAGGCACAAGCCTTAATCTCTTCTCACTGCACCTGTCTGTCAGCATTTGTTAAGAAGAGTAGGCAGACCTCTTTGCGAAGTTCTGTGAGGATGGCTTTAACATCTTCTGCCAAGCTCAGATGCAGCAGATGTGTAGATTTCCACAAGAAATAACATTTCTCAGCCAAAAGTCAGTAGCATTGCTCTACACAGATAACAAACACACTGAGAGGGAAATTAGAGAAACAATACCTTTTACAATAGCAACATGGAAAATGAAATACCTTGGAA